AACTACCCTGGTGGCCCGACTGATGACCGGAAGCAATAGGCGTAGGGTTCCTACTCGATTATGAACTGATTGGTGCAACTGGCTGTGGTGCTTGAGGCACCTTGAAACCTGACTGCACAACTGCTGACTATGCCGGTGTGGCCTGTAAACCTGTGCCACTCTGTGTCCTGCTCCATGGATGAAGGCAATCCTTCCTTATATGACCAGGCTGCTTGTAATAGTTGCAAGTCCCCTGAAACGCCTTCGTCGAAACTATAGGCTTACTAGCCTGTGATTGACTGGCTTATGGCTGAAGCTGTGGGCAACGAGGCTTGATATGCCCCGGCTGCTGACAATGGTGACAAATCACTCCCCGGGCTGACCCCTAAGATACTGGAACTGCAGATGCAGACCGAGCCTGTTGTGACTATCCCTTAGTACGTGAACTGTCCCCGACTTTAGCCTTCTTCCACTGACCCCCAACGAATACTGATAGAGACTCTCCATGCGGTTGCTTATACGAACCCTTGATCCTATGCTGGTCTCGGTCCTCTACCTCAACCATCATAGCCCTTTGGACCACCTCTCCATAGGTTCTAAAATCCAACATTGAAATCCATGGCCTAATATCAAGATGTAACCCATCCTGAAACTTTTTTGCCCTGAGCTTATCGGTAACTACCATCTCCAGTGCATAGCGAGAAAGAGAAGTAAAGCGTGTCTCATACTCAATGACGCTCATCATGCCCTGATAGAGACTTGTGAACTATACTCTCATATCCTGTTTTATAGCCCTCGGAAAGAAGCGATCGAAGAACAATGTCCTAAACTCCTCCCAGTTATCACTTCCACATCGTGGATATTAGTCATAGACCTCCACCAAATGTCGGCATCTCCCATGAATATAGAGGCTGCCAAGGAGTTCCTCAATCAGTTTGTAGGTACAGCCAGGCTATCAAGCCTGCGTACCATGAGGTCAAGCCATGCCTCTAAAGCAAGCGGATCTATACTCCCTGTAAAATAGTCGATCTTAACCCGTTGTAACTTCATGAAGTAGTCCAATGCCTCATTAACAACTAGTGCCGGTGCTGGTGCCAGTACCGGAATCTGCATCCCTGCAATATGTTGACGAAACATCTGCTGAATAGACTCTAACATTCCCAGAGCCACTCCCTGTACGATCTACTCCTCGTAAGTCAGCGCTTGTGGTGGATTAGGATCCATGCCATGAGGTCGAACCCAAAGCCTCCCTGGACCCCGTGTGAGCCCAATGTCCTCAACCTGCTCATCCGCTCCTCATGACGAGAAGACTCTCCACAAGTCAAAACCATGATGCTAAACGAACGAAAAGGAAGAGGTCAACAATAACACAAGTTATTATGATCGAATGCAACTCACGCTATGGATGCATGAAACAAGAAGCATGTCAATGTATGTAACATACAGTTATGCTAAAGCAGATAAGCATATATAACATATTAAAATAGTTAAGGCAAATCCCTAGACATACTGTCACACAAGCACATAGACATGTTATTAAATCAAAGCATGTTATTAAGAAACATGTAAACATATCAAAGCACGTCAACAAAAGAATGATATGCACCTAAAACCCGTCGTCCTAAGGTTTTGAACCTAGGAGCTCTGATACCACTTGTCGTGACCCATATTTTTCAGCTCGGTGCAACAGTGATTTCCTGAAGGTTAACCCGGTAACGGATTCGAAATGCAGAAACAAATGATAAACCAAGGTCTCTAGGGATATAAATCATCCCTAAGACACCAATGTGACCTTTCATGAATTCACGGAATTTAAAGATAGCGAAAGAGAAAAAAGGAGTAAAAAACGAGCAAATTTTGCTAATTAAGGGCAAAATGGTCAATTTATAACTAAGAAGGGAAATTTGACCTTAATCAAGTCAAATAAGGTCCACACAACCTATACTGATCATTTCACAACATTTCAAGTGGTTCTAAGAACTTTGGACGAGAATCCCACAAAACGCCATTTCCCGGTTTAAGTGAAAACTGACATTGTCTCACTAAAACATGAATAACTCTCACTATGATTTGAATCTGAGAATGACATAGGTACCATTAGAAAGCTGAATCAAAATACTTGAATTTAGGCTCAAGAATCACCCCATTTGGGTTAGGAACAAGGGAGTTATGCCCTTTTGAAGTTGGAACATCAGTGCTGAAACTAAATCTGGAAAACTGTGTGTATGAGGGTTGTTTCGGTTGACCGAAATAGAGTTTTGGACGACCAAAACTGACAGAAACTTTTCTGAAGTCTTGTTTTTGAGGGGTAGGTACTTCAGTAGACCGAAATAAGCCATCGATAGACCGAAATAAGCCATTGGTCAACCGAAATGGCCTTGAAAGGTGTTTTTAGCTACTGGAATGTGCATTTTTACAAATCAAAAAGGCACCGGTCGACCGAAACACATCGAAACCTACTAGAAGCTTTACTAAACATGGGAGATTTGCAATTGAACCTATAAAATTCATTCTACCCATATGCATAGGTCAAAACTGATTCTTTTTAAGGGAAATTAAGCATGTGCACATGTCAACAAGCATAATATGAATTATTTGTACATAGAACAATGGCTCATGGCCTCATACATATCAATTACAAGTATCTCACATGCTAAACTTCCAAAGTTGGTTAAAACACACTCTTAAAGCAAAATATGGTTCCACATGAGTACAAGTGTTAAATTAAACATGCTTGGCCCTTGGCCTCATTACACACATATCTAAAGAGTATCAAAAGGTGCACCTAAGTGCACATTACATAGGTTGAACTAAAAATACAAGTTTTGACATAATAACCAAAATGAAGCGTGATATGCTAACAAGTGCATATTCTGATAAAACAAAAATACTCCAAGAAGTCAAGCAAGTCTAAGAGTGTTGTGCATCCTACACTAATACTTCTTTACCTGAAAAACACCCGGTAACTTTGGGATAAGTAAACAAGTTTACTCGTAGGGAATAAGCATGCATAAGCTTATCTTTACACAAAGTTGCAATTCAATACCATCTAATCCATGCTGTTAAAGTGACATTGGAACTTTCAATATAGCACGATGAGATGCAATTTCACAAAGTTATTAACTTAGAAATTAAAGTGCGAAATCAAACCAAAGTGGATACTTCGATATTGCCCGGATTAAAACTGTAATCTTAGGATTACTTTAGGGCTATTAACCCATGGGTACCTTCCCCTAGTGCGCACTATAGTGTAAGGAGCTCTCTATCTCCGGTACTAGAACCAAGTCCTAGCCAAGTCATGTTCTTGATAATATTCCAAGTTTCAAAATCAACAAGTTGAGCAACAAATCATGATATGTGATAAAAACACAATAAAGCTCCATGAATTTCATGACTAAATCATTAAATCAATAAGATAGAAATTAAGTAGACTAACTAGTTAATTTCCCTAGATTTCAAGAGTTGTTTAAATGATTCCAATTTAATATATAACAAGAAGTAAGTTATAGCCGTGCCATATATCAAGTTCAAATTGGAATACAAGCATGGTACAAATAAGTAGAATTAAAATCAATTTATATTAATTAATTCTCTAGATTTAAAAGCTCATTTAATTCATGCCAAATTAATAAATAACAAAGATCAAGTCATGGCCATGCCATATATCAAGTCTAAAATGAATTATATGCAAGATATCATTAATCATTAGTTACTCAATTTAATACAATCATGCATACAACTTATACATCATTAAAAAAACAATAATTGACTTGAATAATAAACTAGAACACCCCCTACCTCACAAGAGGATTATTCCTCTTGAATTCAAGACAACCAAGCTTAAAAATGGAAAACCAAACAAGGGTTTTATAGAGGAAAGTGAGAGGAAGTTAAAATATTCTAAGCTTAAAGGTCTAATGTGAGTGGAAGGGTATCAAAAATGAAGTCAAAGCTCTAAGTTAAGCTTTATTCCAATGGTGACTAAGTTAGGGTTCTTGAGAGGAAAGAGATGAATGAAATAAAATGTGGAAACCTTAAGTTAAATGTGGTGGGATTCTCCACTCACTAGGTGCTCTTGCATTATCTCTCTCACACACACAATGCAAGACAAATTGTGAGACCCACACTTGTTATGAATCTAAATAAACTTGCAAGACTTAATATTAAGCCTACACTTGTCAACCATTCATGCTAACAAGTGCTCATATCCTAGACCAACAAATGGGTGAATCTCCACCCTTCATGTGTTATGAGATTAAGCCTCCAAGTGGTTCCACCACAAGATCAACAAGTGGCACCATAGGAATGTGACACTTGTCACATTTTTCGAAAATTATAAAAAGGTCATTTTTGAAAATATTTTTCAAATTAAATTGCAAAATGGTCCCTAAGACGAAAAATATTACTTTTCATAATAACACTAAAACCCCAAAAGTCATGAATAATTACAATAAGTTATGCATCCATACCCTTTACAAGAAAAGTAACATCTAACATGTTTTTTTACAAAAGTAAAAATGTAGATATCATGGAAATTAAATATCATGAATATATGCAAAGTCGATATCAAATCCGAATACAAAAAGTGAGGTTATGTAAGGAAAAATGATAAACGAGAAAAAGACGAAATAGGGAAAAATACGAAAAAAGAAAAGAAGGAAAATGACAGAATCATTACACAGAAGGCCGACTCAAAAAAATTTAATACTTCACTTAATTTTAGCCAAAAGGCCGAGAAAGGTGTGATTATTATTTCTGTGGGTTTATAGTTTTATAAGAGACTTTCATATAATTCTTTTTACTATGTCTGTAATTTTATAAAAGGTTTTCATGTAATCCTTTTTATTTAAAATCAACGTGGGACAAAAAATATAAATTCTATTAGGTAATTTGTAATTTGAATTAAACTTTTAAAATAATTTTTAAGTAAATTTTTTTTTAAATTTTTTTTTATATTAATAAATAAATATTAAAATACTTAAAAGCTTCGTAAATTCAGTAATAGTATAGACGTAGATATACATCAATCAGCACTCCTTTGTTTGTTCGGTTTATTCTGGTTTTAATAGTTTGATTTCAAGCTCTTTATTCTGCTCCAACCTAAAAACAAAAAATAAAATAGTTTCTCCCAGTATCATCGTTCGATTCTTCGCTCCGCAGCTCAGGTGACTTCCGTGATCTTGTTCTTTTGTATCCTCATAAAGCTTTCATTATATTAATTTTGTAAAAATCAACCAAACTTATGGTTTCTTATTTTTCGGTAAATAAACCAAATTTAGGGTTTCTTATTTGCGTAAATTGTGTTCGTTTTTTGCTCTGATTATATCAATGATCTGTTTGCATTCCTTGTGCTCTGAGATTATATGTCTGCATGTATATATACAATGTTTGGTTGCCAAGAAAAAGAAAGCTTTTTTTTTTTTTTAAATGTTGTGTTACGTCTTTGCGTTCCAAAATATTAAAAATTCGATCAGACTATGTTATATGTTAGTCTCATCCCAGTGGGGCTTTTACCTAGGTACCAATTAATAAAATTTTCAAAATATTTAATTTTAATCTTTTCCTTTTAAAAATAATTATTCTTTTCTTTCCCACCTTATGGATCTCTTTCAATTTATTTATTTTTTAATTTAAAAATTGACAATTATAAAGGAATGCATTTTATTGTTGCTGTCCAATTGTGGTCAATGTTCTAATGATTAGTTTCCTTAATTTGATATGTCAAAAGGGTTTGTACGAAATGGCTGAACAAAAGAAGAAACAACCTGTTTTTATCAAGGTTGACCAGCTCAGGCCAGGAGCTAAAGGCCTCAATCTAACAGTAAAGGTTGTTAGTTCTAAGGCGATAATGCAGAGGGGTCGTGCAGATGGAACTCAAGGACGCCAAATGCGACTTGCTGAATGCTTGGTAGGCGATGAGACAGGAATGATTATCTTCACAGCCAGAAATGATCAAGGTATAATTTCTTCATAAATAATGCTTTTTGGTGGAAATTGTATCTTATTTCTCTTGAACATTCTCCATAGTCCATTCATCTGGTCAATCATGTAATTAACATTTTTAACCACATGGATACAATTCACGAATTTCCTTGAGCATATCAAGTTTTGTCATCGCTCCATGTTTAGTAATGATCTTTCTATTAACAGGGATACTCATTTTATCTTTTTTGTGCATTTTTATAGTTTTGTAAGTGTGGATAGGGAGGCTATATTTAATTGCAGGTTATGAGATCATTACTTTTTTTTTTAGTGGAATAAATACTTTATACATAGAGCTTGCTTGAGTTTCATTGATTACATACTAAAAGTTCCCCAAGTGAAGTTGTGTTGAGGTTAAGAAGAATTTGTATGTCAGAAAGGAAATCCTAATTTCTGGTCTCTTTTTTTAGCTACAAGGCCCTTGGGTGACTCTCCTCTTCTCTATTTTGGAAAATAACTAGAATAGTTTGTCAGATTGTCCTTGGAGCCATAGGATTGTTGTAATACAAGAGTTCAAGAAAGTTACAAGGGTGTGGTTAGGCTAATGATTCTGTCATGTACTTCTAGACAGATACCCATACTCAAGACACATACCTTTCCATGGGATTAACTGCCCAGTAACTTGTGAGTTGTGATTCTTGTGAATCATGATCGGCTTTGAGAGCACATGGTAACTCCACCAGCTTGCGCTGTAACTCAGGAAAAAGCTGGTTACAGTGAAGATTGTTGCACCTTTGTCCAATTGCATCTACGGTTCATCTGTTGTTGAGATATCCTGATTTAATGGCACTTTTTGACTTCAACTCCCTGTTTGGTTTCAACTTAATAATTACCAAGGAATCCGGATAGATTTTTGAGGAATAGTCTTCATGGTGTTGGAAAGTACATACTGCTGTATAAAAGCATGTTCATTTTTAATAAAACAGGGTGAGAATATAGGACATGATGTGACAGGAATTGAACTTTAATTGGAATTAGCTAGGTGCTTGGTAGATTGATATAAAGTTGCCACCTAAAATTAGGTTATGTTAGGTTACCTAAGACAAGTTTTGGAAAAGCATGTTTTGAAAAATATTTTTAAAGGATAAATTAATTGGTTCTAAGAAAGTGCTTTAATTGTAATTTTACGAAGGGGGAAAATCTATCTGAGCAAGGTACTGGAAGTACATGTGTCCAAGGTTGGTACTTGTTTTAAATGCGTCCAGATGGGTCTTTACTGTCACACGCCTCTAGAATCTCTTGGGTTGAGCGGCAAGTTTGCATGGGACTCATTGGCATGTTTGTGGCAGAAACAACTTATTCTGGAAGTTATCTCCTAAAGGCGAGCACATGGGAAATTTGAGACACTTGGAATAATATGACCATACTTTTCACATGTGTTTCTTTGCTTACCTATAATTAGGTCCTGTGTCCATATTGTTCGGGTGTTTTGCAGAGTTACCATATGTCATCCTTTTGCTAGCCAGCTTTCAAAGGAAAAATTTGACCCGTTTTTGCTTGTGGGTTATGGACCCTAATTAGTACTCTCTTGTAGCCCAATATATATGGGCGCTTAGGGTTTGAAGCAAATTATCGAGAGACATTGAAAATCATACAGAAAGAGAGTGAGGGGCTGAAACTTGTAATCTCCGATTTTACACATATTGAAGACTTTCATCGGATCTCCACCGTGGACGTAGGATTTGCCGCACCACAAATAAATCTTTGTGTATGATGTGTTTACTTTTTTGTCGTGTTTTGTGATTCTTGCTTGAGTCGCTGCGTTTGTCGTAACAAAACTCATATTGCAGTCCTGAGATGCTGTGTTAAGATTCTCCACTGGTTTGTCACCTTCTTTTGCTGATTTGCATCTACTCTGGTGGGCTGGCTGACCAACGAGCCAAGAACCATTGACCAGGCTTCTTGAGCGTGGCAGTCACTAGTCTTTTACCAACTTTTATGGCTTACTTGGCTCCTGTGATCTCATTTTTTTTTTTCGCTCGCTTGGGTTTTCCCTGCCTTCTATGCTTGTCCTGCCCTTAGGGTATGTTTGGTAGCCAATTGCTCCTTATTGATGTACATTATGTTTTTCGATTGTCTTTTATCATTTATATATCTCTCGGGTTATTAGACTTAAGTTTTTGTAGATTATGCTAGAATTGATCTTCTCTTGAGAGATGTGTTAGGGCTGGAGAATTGCTCTATCGTTTTTCTTTGTACTCTTATTCCCATGGATAATAAAATTATCACTTACCTACAAAACCATGAAGCACGTATACTTCTATAATGGTGTTGTATTCATATCATAGCTCTACTTGCGTACTCAAGGATATGTTTATGATACTTTCTAAAGAATCTAAACATATCTATAACTTGGAAACAATATTTTATTTTGTATGTTAGGAAAGTAAGTCTTGTGACTGAAAAATCCCAACAGAAAAATTTGATTGTAGTTGAACAAAATGTCTATGAGTTAGACGATGAAGATGGAGGAACAAGGAAACTTTATTAAGTCAATGACATGGTTAGGAAAGGTAAGTCATAAGTGAGAAATCTTAGCTGACATAGAAGTCTAGGTTGGATAATTTATTAGATAGTTGGATTACACATGAAAGTATTTTGAGAATTAAAAAAAGTTTGAATTGTATTTTTGCTAAATAAATTAGAAAATTTCAAAGTAGGAACTTCAATTGATTGTAATGGATCCAATTGAACTCTCGCATGAAATTTGATGAAATAACACTATTAGTCAATGACAACCTTGATAAAACGTTCTATCATTCATGCTCTAGAGTCCTTCGGTTGATCATAGGCAGACTTGTTTCCTTCTTTTTATGTTTTTTTGTCTAATAGTTGAGAAAAGTTTCCTAGCCTATTTAGGACTCCTATATTAACATGCTTAAAGTTACACTAGGCAGGAACCAAAAAAAAAAAAAAATAACAAGACAGTAAAAAAGTGAGAGAAAACATATAGTCTTGATAATAAATCAAGGGCTTAATATAGATCACCATTTTCCTTATGTAATTGAGTAAGTCAAAGTAAGATGCTTAAATGAAGAGTTGTTATCTATCAACCGGGTGATTTTGAAGAATAACAGACAAATGAACAATTTAAAGGAGAACAAACTTTGTTGGCATACGTGTTTGTTGATCGACAACAACAGTGTTAAGTGGAGAATACAGCTGTAAGTCTAGATCAGAGGTAATTAGGTAATTCTAAAAGGGGTTAGGTTTGATGCCTAGGATATATACCTTTCTCATACAGTGGATTGTGCCTGGAAGGTCCAGTTGTTTCTCCCTTTTTAGGTTTTTATTGAAATTTTGGTTCTTTATTTATTTTAAATTTATTGCTTTATTTGCATGAATTATGTATCTAATTGATAAATTACAAGGCATTATGAAATAACCTAAACTGTGGTTGAATATCAAATTAATTAAACAAAAAATTATGGTATGTCAGTTTATAACCTAAACTATGGGTGTCTTGTGGAGAGCCCAGGCTTATGAAATAACCTAAACTGTGGTTGAATATCAAATTAATTAAACAAAAAATTATGGTATGTCAGTTTATAACCTAAACTATGGGTGTCTTGTGGAGAGCCGAGCCTGGGTTGTTTGGAGGGCCACTCCCCTTTGTTTATGGTGGGCTTTTTGGCGTGAGAGAAATATGAGATCTTTTGAGGGAGAGGAGACTCCTATTTGGTCTCTCAAATATAACATACTGAATACTTCATTTTTTTTGGTTAACAAGCGTAATTGTAAATCTTTGGGGGATCTTTTGGATAGGTTAAAGCTTTAGTTGTCACCTTTGGCGTTTTGTGTATTCTTCGGGAGCGCTTCCCTCTTGAGCACCTTTTATGAAATCTTACTTATAAAAAAAAAATAAAAAAATAAAAAAAAAAGAAAACTGTTATTGGAAGTTAAGAAGTTTTCAAAACCTATAAACTCCCTTCTAGGTCTAGTTTAGAACCTTATGTAAACTGACGTACCAATGTATGGGGATGACAGTCCTCCCTTCACTGTGCACGTATCTGATACTTAACAAATAGTCTAGACCCGTTTTTGATACTTCTTGAACATTAAAATGCAAAATTTATAATATAATGTCACGTTATGAAAAGTGTCATAAGGATTTCAAGTACTGGACTTAGACAAAGAATTGAGACGTAATGAGTATGTCATCTAATTTAGTCTAATATTCTTGTTTATACAGCATAAAGCACAATCTTTTCTTTAATATTATAAGTTAGAACTACAAAATGTTTGATACATTTTATTGCTATAAATCTTTGAACAAGGGACTGTTAGTCATAATATATTTATATAACATGACAACAAATTAATGCAACTCAACTGTACAAAGCCCTTTTTCCAAGTACATGGGATCGTTTACACGAATCTTATTTTTTCATCTTGCTCAATCTAAGGTCATAGCCTCAGTCAAACATGATAAGCAATTAACTGTTTTTTAATTTCTACATAGATACGTATACATAGATATCTTCATGAATTTGTTGTATTTGTATTGAATTTTTAAGAATTTGTTGTGTCATTGTATCCGTGTCATATATTTGTATCCATACTTCATAGCTATAAAAAAATCCATATGGTTTCAAAATGATAATTACCCTACTGGAATAGAAGCTTGGTTATTGTTTGAAAGGGAAACACTTACTAAGATAAATGATTTATGTCAAAAAGAAATGGATTGAAGTTCACTTTTGGGTGCCCTTCAATGAATTCTTACTTATCAAAGAAAAAGAAGACATGGATTGAAGTTCACTAAAAAAATTCAGATAGCATCACATCAATAGTTGATTGTTGTTATTGTTTGGCATTTTGGTTATGTTCTCCTTGTGTCATCGAACCTCTCCAGTTGGGAGAACTTTTCTTGTTGGCTAGGTTTTCCTTCCATTTGGTTTGTGAGGGATTTTGCCAAGAGAATTTTCTGTTTTATTTATTTTCTGTTTATTGAGTTTTGTTGGATATCGTTTCATGGTTTGTAAAGACAACTTACTGAAATTTTTTACAATGATGATTATATTGATACCACAGGTAGTTAGTAATAATATACTGTATAGAACATGACGAATAATGACTATTGTAAATGTATACATAAATATATATACACACACATATATATATTTCATAATTTGAATTTGTATACAATTCTACATAAATACAATATCTTGGCATATGTCTTTGCCGTATGTCGCCGTGTTTTTATTTACCATATCTGTATTGCCATGCTTCATAGTCTAAAGAAATTTTATTTTATTATTTTAGGGTTGATTTGTGATGAGAAGTGTTTGGCTAAGTAATCAAATTAGGGAAACAGGTTAGGCTTTGTGAATCAATGAATTTGCTTTGTTGGAAGAGAGTGGACAGAACTGTAGAAGAAGAATAGTCAGTAAACAAGAAAGAAAATGAAGAGTGAGAAACTACCCTACCCCATGGGAAGTTCACTAAGATCAACACTCAAACAAAAAGAATTTTACATTCAATTTTTAGCCAAATAAACCGTTCGTATAACTTCAGTCTCATTTTATAATGAATGACCTTATTTATCCATACTAGAAAACTCCAAAGATTTACATAAACCTTCAGAAGTAGCCTACTCTAATAAGTCTAAAGCTATTAATGGGTTGGATTGCAGCACAAAATAGATTTGTAACCCAGCAAGTCAAACTCTTTGGATTCTAGAAATTCTATCCAAAACTTGCAACTTTAAATCATATAAAACTTTATTAACTCCTACAATGAAAAAACTTATCCTAAACAAAAGCAATAATTACCAAGACCCTTAACTAAACAAACAGACTTAAATGTGAAGTTATAACGATAATCATATAAAACCTAATGATGTATCTTGCATCACGAGGTTGTAATCTATTATACTTAATATGGTTCCAAAGCTTGTTATCAACCAAACTGGATGTAGGCTTCCTCTTTATTTGAATGACTTAAGTCATTCAATAAATAATAAAAAAATAAAAGGCATGCTTTTTTTGAGCCTGGAGCCTACTAAAAAGTGTGAGCCTGAGGATTGATGTGAGCCTGACTAAAGGGTCATAGTCTGAACTAGGTTGAGATGCTCTAGCTGAGCCTTGACGAGCCTGGCTTTTTCGGAGCCTATGCGTGCCCTTTAACAACCATGCTTGTACAATTGGAACTTAAAAAATCAGAAACTAAATGCTTATCTGCTTTCTGCGATAATTATTTTATATATCAAGCATATGTATTAACCGTGGAATTGCCAGCACCTTGGCAATTCATGTGATATCAAGCAAATGTATTGTATTGGTTGGTTTATTGTTTGGTTTGATGGTGGTAGTCTTGAATTCACTGGAAACCTGGCTGTTTGTTGTAATTTAAGAAGTACATGTGTTTTCATTTTTGTATAATAGTTGTACTTGTTAAAAATTTGAATTTGTGGTAATATATGGAACATCATTAAATTTTTGAAGAATGGGAAGACATTCTTTAATCGAATTTCTTTTGGATAGACAGGAAGATTGCCCTTTCTTTGAGTTATTTCATGTCAAGGTACACTATTTGTATTGTGGTTGACTATTTAATTTCATAGGCGAACAATGTTTGTGAAGTAAATGCACAGGTACACAAAATCAAGATTTCCCATCTTTTATTGATTCTAGATGCTCTCTCTTACATGACATCTCAATATTCAGCGGAGGTGATGAAAGAGGGCACTACTGTAGTTTTGCAGAAGGCGAAGATTGACATGTTCAAGGGGTCAATGAGACTTGCGGTGGACAGGTGGGGCCGTGTTGAAGTAACAGAGCCTGCTGGTTTCTCTGTCAAGGAAGATGGCAATCTCTCGCTGATCGAGTTTGAAGTTGTGAATATCATTGAAGGGTAACTTGTGAATGGTACTCATTTCTATACTACCAATATTACAACCCGAAAAGATAATATCAATCCAAGGAAGAATATCATCACTGTTTATTGCGCAATTGCCTCCAAAATCTCGCGAATAGAGTCGAGCAATTGGTGGATTCTGGAGTAGGCAGCTAGTGGAACCTGTTAGTTGGACATAGAGTGTGACTGCTATAGGCTAATTACATGAAGCACTTTGCTTTGGTCTGTTCATTTTCTTGTTTTAGGATAGTAAATTATATGTTCCTTTGTAATAACATGATGAAATTTTGTTGGTTCTATAACTTATATTATGGCATCTACATTCATTATGGTTATTCGTATTGAAATATTATTTCGATTTCTCTGCAATCTTTTTGAGAAATTTGTTTAACGGCCACAGAGTATGCAATTGGTTCTTGAGGTATTGGCAGAAATGAAGGGATGCTCCCATGGTTTCTATGGTGTAGCAATCTTCCTTTTCGCGCCAATTTAAGAGTAGGGTCGTTATGATCACAAACATAAATAGAAAATGATGTACAATTGTTATACATGATCACAAACAACCCATGCCGATTGCCGACACTATCTTTGTCGGAAGAATAAATGAGAAGTGCCTTGACGCTAGTGAAAGGACTACTCATTAGATGATTGATAGTGGCAGAAAGTAGAAGTATCAAATTGATTGAAGAAAGAAAGAAGCATGAAAAAGTAAGATAATACATTATTAGATCTATATGTATTGCGAAGAACAATGTCACCAAGGCTTAATTCTCAGTCCAGTTACTTAAAACCCATAATAATGCTGTTGCTCATATATACATATGCATGTGCATAACTATGTATACTTTATTTTTGTTCCTAGTCGCTCAAAGGCTTGCCGTTTTGAATTCGGATCTCCTCCTGGGGAGGGAATTCTGTGCCTTGGTCTTTTGCTGTATTTAAATTATTAGTACAACACACTATGTCGTTGTGCAATAGATGTGTAAAAAAATTATTACATAAACGATTTAATATAGTTGTTGCATATACGATATAATGGCACCGGACGTGACACGAATGAAGTGACATAAGAGAGGATACGGAGTTTGTAGGTTTTAAGCATAATGTATATTAAAGAAGGGTTCATAGATCAAGCTGCAATTATAAATAAATCTCAAAGAAAAATGATTGAATAACCAATAATGTAGTGCCCCAATTTAATGGTGACTCACTATCTCCCTTAATAATAGTGCCCCTATTGAATAGGGGAGCTAAATTGGTGTTATTCCATCAATACCCAATAATTTATCCCTTATCTTGTAAGTTGATCTTGACATCCAAACAATCAAAATTTTGCTGTACCTATTTTTAGAAATATTGAATATTTTATCATCATTGTCTGAATTATTGCACTGCTCACCTACTACATTTGAGATTCTTCTGCACATAAAAGCACATGGTTGCTTGGTTAGTATCTGCTTAGAATGCTCATGCAATTGTAGTGGTGTGTGTGGCAAAACTTACAACCCCACAAAATCATTTTTTTTTTTCTTTTCATAATAACATAATAAATTAATTGTTTTTAAAAAAGTTTATCTCTTTTTTAAGGCCTTAATGATACTATAATTTCTAATTTAAAATTTAAACAAATACCCACAACTCATACTTGCTTCAAATGCCAAATGAGTGATTCATATCTATAAAGTCCCATGTGCAATTGAATCTTGACTGGTATTTCTGAGTGGGCAACTTTTGAAAAAAAAGATTTTCTTTTGTGCAATTTGATTTTGAGAGATAACCAAACTTCTTTACCTTTTTTCTTTTGAAAATACCAAACTTGAAGTGGACAGATTCTGATTTTGCTTAATTTGTGCATGAAATCAACTCTGGTGTGAGATCATCACTGTGAGGAATCAAAACACGTGAAACAAGATCATAGAAAATAAAATGGTTGAAAACTTTTCTTCATATTATTACCCCTTAGTGCAAGATGGAAAGTCATTCCACCAACCATAGATATGGGTGATGTTACGACAGTTCACCAAGCAATTTTTCATTAATATACGAACAGAATAGCTTAAACACGTTATTAATGTTGCGTTTGAAAACACCGTTGCTATATGGTGATAATTGATCCATGAATGTGTGTGTAGAAACAGTAGGACCAACTCATATGGATCGACACCATCTTCATTGGAGGATAAGTCAGGGACTCCAGATTTTAATGCCTCAAATCTGGCGAAATTAGCGCTTTTCACATGGTTGATAATGACACAGAAAATCAAAAGGAAAATAACTTGAAATTAGTATAATCATTTATGTCACACAAATTGTTACATGTATTATTCATTCATACACATATAGATTTTTGTTTTTCGATAATTTGTGCAAGAAATCAACTCTAATGTAATATCTCTACCTTACATGGAATCACAAGGAAGGCAAAGTTACTAGAAAATGCTTAAACACTATTTCTTCATTTTCAAACCCTTTGAGTGCAAGATGGAAAGTCATTGCTCCAACCAAATGGGTGGTAATGTAACAATTAAATGACTTAAAGGACATTAATTAATTAACCTTCATATTATGTAGATAAAACACTAAGAAATAGTAATGAATGTACAAACTTTTTAAAATTGAAAATAATAGGTAAAGTGCAAAAAATCATCCTACATTATGTTTGAATTTGCAAATAACTCCCCTGAACTATATTTTATGCATAATATATATCCCCTGAACTAACATATTTTATTACAAAATACCTCAATGCCTATACTATATTTCATTAAATGACCATAATGTCATTTCTTATTGAATTAGACTAAATCTATTTTTCTTATTAAATAAATTATGAAAAAAAATTATACTAATTTGATGGCACATTCTCCATTAAATTAGCATAAAGTTACCTTTAATTTTTGAAATTAATTGTGTAAATAAAAATCTTAAGTAGACATTTTAAAAATAGTTTAATTAATTTCTTAATTTTTCATGAATACATTACATGAAAAAAGAAGGTATTTTTTATTTAAGCAATTTATTAATTTTTCATCAATATATTGTAAGAAAAATAAGGTATGGAGTATTTTTTACGGTAAAAATTTTTAAATTGGGTATAATAAGTTTTATTATAAACAATAAAATCTTAATAATAAGTTAATAATTTTAAAAATTGGTAGTTACAAATCTATTCTTTTTTTCTTTTTTTTTTTTTTTTTTCCATTTTTATGATAAATCGAGACTAATAATAAAATTAAGGTAAATAACAAAATTAGTATTTAGATAAGAGAAAAGATAATAAAAAAAATTTAATAAGAAAGGGTAATATAGTCTTTTGTGACGAGTTTGTCCTTAATTTCAACAAATCAATAGTTCAGGAAGACAATTTTAAGTTCAGAAATGTTACTCCGTATCTGCAAAAGAGCAATAGTTCAAGGTTTTTTTTTTTTGCACTTTACCCTTGAATAATTTACAACTTCAATGTAATGGAACAATATTTTTTTATGTATAGAAACAATAGGACCTACTTTATATATGGACACCACCATATATCTTCTTGTTGAAGGATGAGTGAGAGTGTGGATCCACATTTTCATGCCTGAAATCTAGTGAAAGGACCACATATCACATTGTTGGTAATGATTAAGAAAATCCAAGGCATCAAATTAATCAAACATAAAATAGAGAAGACTTGAAATTAAATTAGTATAATATATGATAATACAATCACTAATCGCACAAATATGTTACATATATATATGATTTCTATTGAGAGTTTGGATGCAGCAGACTGCCTAAGAACAATGCCACAAGGTTGCTATGTTTTGCATAATGCTGCAAGAATCGTCCATAATTGTCTGTTTGGTTCCTAGTTTTTCTTTTTCTTTCCTTTTCTTTTCTTTTCTTTTCCACTAATTTACTGTTAAGAAAGTTCATCGTTCATAATTGAAGGGTTTTGTCTCCGAAAAATGACATATATGATAGAGAAGCTCTAACTCAATGATCAAACTTGTAGGACAGTCCGTGCCTGTTGAAAACGGGGCATTAAAAATATAAACTTTGGATGAGATTTTGAATAGATTCTGCTTAAATTTTTTTGCGAATCTATTGATGAGTGCGTTCCTCTGCGCAAGGAGATGAACGTAGTATATTTTTTTTTTTCCTAGTTGGGACTCACACACACTGCCTCTACTGAGGTTCGAACCCCTGACCTCCCTTTGGGAAGTAGGAGCCTTGTACCGTTAGGCCACAGGCCTGTTGGTAATGAACGTGGTATATTTACTTTCTCAAATTCGTTTCCGAGTGAATGAGAAATTAGCTTTAAAGTAAGGTGTTTGATAAGCCTAAATGGGATTGCAAAATGTGGGAAATGTTTGTCCCACATCGGAAAAATATTAAAACCTAAAGGCACCATGAGGCCTATATAAACACCCCCTTGGGTTCATTCCAAAGTACTCCAATTCAGAATCATTTTCGCTAATTCTGAATTCTCTTATTCTATAAGTGTCTGTGGGTACGAACCTTTGTCTTTGGGTTTGAGTTTTAATCAGTCACTCCGTCAGTCACTCCGAGTTCGAGTCAGAGAGTACTACACCGAGCCAATTCGCTTATTCCTTTGGTTTACAGTGCTACCATCGAAGGAAGTAAAAGTTGTTGTATCTCGGGAGATAGACGCCACTGAGTCTGTTAGCACCATAGCGGGACGAATCTGTCTTAAGGATATAAAATCAGCACCATAGCGGGGCGAATCTGTCTTAAGGATATAGAATCAAATTCTAGCATCGACTTATTTCCAGGTTCTTTTATTTTGTTTTATTTTATTTTATAAGATATTATATATATAGATTATTATTTTATAATAATAATTATATATATACATACATTATATTTATGCATAATATTTAAATAGTAATACTATAGTGTATGGTATAGTTAGACCATATTTTGGACTACAATCTTCAGATAGATTCGGCTTATACTATAGTTTAATTATTTAAAAATTGTTGTTATTTTATTTCTGTAAATTTGACTATGGTTTATATATTTAATATATATCAGACGAATGGCAAGTACAAGTATTACTATGCCTAATGTTCCCGTCAGTCATGGGGAGAAGCCCGAAAAATTTAATGGGGCGGAGTTTAAAAGGTGGCAAAAGAAAATGATGTTCTACCTTACAGCTCTAAATTTGAGCAAGTACCTAGCTGAAACTGCTCCAATGCTAGAAGTGGGAGAAACTGACATTACAAAGCTATGAGCTGTCGATGCATGGAAGCATCGAGACTTCCTATGCAGGAATTACATCCTCAATGGATTGGACAACACTCTATATAATGTATACAGTCTAATGAACATT